CATCCGGTAAGCTGCAGGCGGCGAGGGGCAGTGCCCCCAAGAAGCCGTTGACTAGCGTACCTGAGCTGGCAAGACTGCTGGGGAAAGGGCTCTCGGGGGCTCTCAGCTGGTACTAACGGTTTCAGAGCATCAGTTGTCCAGTGTGAGGTCTACAGGCAAATAATGAAAGTACTTTTTCCAGAGAACTGTACAGTGCGTGAGAGCCTTATGGAAGAGAACCATATTCGCCTACAGTCATCAAGCTGGTTGAGAACTTCCACCTATCGATCTGGGGATTATATTTTCTTTGAATGCAAGTGGTGGTACCAACAAGTTTCACACCCTGAGAAATTTAGAGCACAGTGCCTGGATGGAGTGATTCAGTATCCTACATGTGCATGTAAGTGCTCGGTGCCGAGGACATGGCGGGGGGCTGTAGGAGGCAGCTTTGCCGAAATTGCCTGTCCACTGCTCTGAGGAACGACTGCGGTGAGGCAGGTTTGGTCTTCATGCCTTTTCCCCTTTTTTTCTCTTTACGCTGCAGGGTCATTGGGATAAATGGAAATGGCATGAAGGAGCCCAGCTGTGGAAATGAAAGATCCCTCAACCGACCCAGTGATTTGAGCTTAATTTTTCCTGGCCTTTCCAGTTTCGCTGTGCTTTGTTTGCAGCTTAGCCAACGTTCTGTCTTGGAATTTGTTGGGTTTTTTTTCTTTTTATTATTGGATGATTGTGTTTACATTTTATCCACATTTTATCCATTTTTGTAAATGTATTTACGTTTTGTAAATGTGTTTACATTTTATCCATCCGAATGGTTGTGCTTGCATTTTATCCATTCTATATTGATCTCTCTGTTATTTTTACTAACAACTGTGTCCTGAAATAGGCTGCCTTTGGTGGCATACTGAGAGAAGAATTAAAGCCCACAGGTAATTTCGTTATCAGCAAGTAGAGTGTGTTTGGCCTTGTCTGCTCCTAGCTGCTTCTCCCTGCGCTTGCCTGGGTCATGGCAGAGGTGAGTGTCCTGACCTCCTGATCAGGATGAGTAAGTGCGTGGAGTGTCCTTTAAATGACTCGAGGAAGTCTCTAGATCACAGACCCAGTTCTTATGAGGGACTTGAGCCTCCCTGACTTTTGCTGGAAGGGCAAGATGTTGGGATGTAAGTAATCGGGCTTTCTGGATGGAGGTGGGGATGACTTCTTGGTCCAGGGCTTGGAATGGGACCTGCCATCCTTGTATTATTCTAGGAGAGTTTGTGATGGTGTCTTGATGGAGCCAGGACCTTCTTGACTTTTTTGGTAGTTGACCCGATGATAACATATTGTAGCTGATGTATGGGAACAGCTACCACGTTTGTGTATCATTGATGTCTTGCTGGGCAGGGGAAGGTTGAGGGAGTGGGGGTTTTTTTACTGCCTCTTACCTATTGGGCTTTGTCGATGATATGCAGTTTCTTTTCTTGCTCTTCACTTTTCTAAGATTTTTTTGAAAGCCAGTGTGGGCAGCCTACCTGGCACTGTGCAGCAAGAGGTGATTTTGCATTGGCCTTTGGTGCCTTCATCTCAGAGGGTTATTTCTTTAACCTCATCTAATTCCACTAAGGTCATGAAAATCAACTAAACCAGCATGCTGTATTTGTATATCGTTAAAGGAGCCTATCTCGATATTCACGTGGGGTATTAACATGGGTTGATTTCTCTCTAAGGAAATGAAGCAAGAAATACTTCAGTTGTTCCTTTTGCTGGATGATAAGGGAGACTTCGGAAAAGCTAAATCTTTGCTCTGGCAGCCCCATAACCAAATAACTGGACATATTTTCTTAGAAAGAGATGTGAAGAAAGCAAAGGCAAGCTGACTTCCTGAGCACAGACAGGTCTTTTGTTGCAGGGACCTGGAGAAGAGGTCTCAAGACCAGATAAATCAGCGCTGAAGGTCCTCTAGAACAGTGGGCTCCAAAGTGGGGTGCATGCACCCCAAGGGGTTCAGAAGACAATCCATTGGGGTGCGGGAAGAAAATATCAGAACTTCTTCTTATTTTTTTTTTTTTTTGGTCAAAAAAAAAGAATGTTTTACTGATATTTAATATTCAGATTTGACAGTGGTGATTTCACCTGGCCCGTATGTCAGAGGGTTCCATGTCACGTATGGTACCGACGTGTCCTGGGGGGAGAGTGGGTGCTCCACAATGTAGAGGTGTTCACAGTGGCACCCTCACTCATTCGTTTGTTTTCAGCATATTGCAATGCATTGCAGTTTATGTGTGCCCACTTAAGTGCATTTGTGGATTATGTTTAGTTTTCACCAAGCTAACCCTCACAAAATGGACAAGTGGCTTAAAAAGATTCCTTGCAAAGAAGCTGCAGACAGAAGGTAACACACAAGCAAACAACAAGAAAATGGCAGAGCCAACACTCCTACTCCTAGTAAGAGCTCTTCATCAGCCACATTATGAGTTAAAAACCATGTCTCTCTAATCACATCCGACAGGAAGTTGATAAAAAAATTTGGAGATTGTGAAGAAGACTATTTGAAATATGGATTTAAATCTGCTATTGTTAACAATGAACCTTGCCCTTAGTATATAGTGCCTTAGATATTAGCTAACGCTAGCAAGACATTTAAAAAATAAGCATCCAGAACATGAAGGCAAACCTCTACAACTTTTTCAGTGATGCTTTAAGTCATGTCATACTCAATCCAGTACTTTACAAAATTTCACTAAACTTAATGATAAATGTTTAAGCGCCTCTTTCGAGGCTTTTCACTTGATAGCAAAAGACAAAAAGCCACATACCATTGGGGAAACACTTCTTCTTCCTGCTGCAGTAAAAATGGTTGAAGTAAGACACAGAAGACAATACAGTGACAAAGTAAAATACATTCTTTTGTCAGCAAATACTGTTGGAAGATGCATAGAAAACACTGCTGAAGATTTGAAGCAACAGGTATCAGAACAAATTATGCAGAGTGTGTGTAAAGGTCCACTTAAACTGAGTTTAGCAGTGTCACGTTGCTTTGTGTTCCTTTTCCACCTATGACAAATAGCTAAAGTGGAAAGCCAAGTAAGTGAAGGCAGACACAATGACTAACATCACCTTGCCTTGACAATTGTCACGTTATTCTGTAACCTGCAGTATTTGAAGGTAGTGGATCATAATGTTAGTGTAGGCTGTCACATGGCAGACTGCATAGCCCGGCTTTGATCTGTGAGGGCACTTGAGCCTTCTTGGAGCCTGAATCAAGGAGCAAATTGGCCTCCTAGTGAAGGATTATCTCTGTGTCTAGGAATTCATTGCATTTCCTCCCCTTGCCGTCTTGTCAGAGGAGCAGATGTTCCCTTTAGGTATCTGGACTATGGACAGCATATTTAAATGTTCATTTTTGAAAAGACAAGAAAATGTTTTGGGTTCGTTTGGGGTTTTTTTGCATTTATTTTTTGCATTCTTTTTAGCATCCTTACAAATGCATCATCTGCCATCTACCGTTGCCAGTGGCTACATCCTCCCCTGGCTATAGCCAGCGACCAGAGATGGAGGTCTGGTGGAAATACAAGTGTAGAATACTGTATGCAATGTCAGTAACAGAATGAGAAGAAATCTTGACAATATGACATGAACAGTATTAACCGATATTGTGAATACAGTGCTAGTGACAATACAACGATAAACTGAATACAGTGATCAGCTAAATCACCTGTACTGCAAACTCCAAGGAGGGGAAAAAAAAAAAAAAAAAATCAAAGTTGCACAAATGCAAAGTTTCCTTTTGGCATCTCCTGTGCAACTGCGCTGAAGGGCCCTTGCTGGGAATCCTCACACTTTTAAAGTGAGTCTTGCTGTCTGGTGGGAGCGCAGAACACTGCCCCACTGCCACCTTATTGCAGCTCCTTTTTGTTGCGAGGCATTTCAGGAATCCAGCTGCTACTCTGTGTTCTTGAAAATACCAGTGACAGCACATCAGAGAATGTCATAGCCCTGCTAAGTTATTAAGTTAGAAATACTACATTATAGAAAAAGAAGCGTGAAAGTTAAATACGCCACTACCACCTTTTCTTTCCCTGCCTCTAGCTAAATGCTACAATGGAATTACTTTCTTTGGTTCTGACCGTAAACTTTCTGGTAAATAAGGATGCATTTTTCTCACCGACAGAATTGTGTTCAGAGCGGCGGTTGCCCTACCACAAGTGAATTAAAAGTTCAGTCCTTGACTTTATTCAGTGGCACAGTTCAGTATTTATTTGGTGTGTGCATGTGTGTGTATGTGTGAGAAAGGAATAAGGAAGTGGATATTTTTATATGAAAAGCAGAACTGAAGAAAATGGTAACTTTATGGCTTTGCTCAGATTACTGAGAAATACTGGTTTCAGGATGCAGGGTTTCAGGAAGAGTTTGATTTCCAAAAGCAATTAATTTTTTTCTAAGCACCCAGTGAGGACAGGGTTCTGGCTACAGTGACCCTCAAGCAGTTCTTGGCTTGGATACAGACAGCATGAGCTTGAGAAAATATCTCAGATCTGTGCTTTGGTTTCCAATCTATAAAATGTGTAAAACATATTTACAATATGTAAATTGTACTTGGGCACTCTTGAGTGCCCAAGAGAGGTCTTCTGTTATTAGCAAATGACAGTGAGTTGCTTTATGTTAATCTCACAGAAAAGAGAAACAGTGTTTTGTTACGGTTGTGCAGACAGCAAGTGAGAGTCCAGCAGAAACTTCCTACTACTGCTGGTAATCTCAGTCAGTCTAAATTTCAGCAGCAAATGAACCCATGGCTCACACAGATCTTTGATTAACGTATTTGTCATCAATTAACTGATATGAGCAGCCAAAGTGTTACAAATGGCTCTGTCAAATAAACAAAGGCTATGCTCATTCACGTCTGCTTTCTGATCATTATTTTCAGAAATGTCATGTGAAAGGTTCCCAGGATCCTCATGTGTCATTAGAGGAAAATGCAGGAATAGTTATGAACCTAGTAATTGGTGGAACCCATGTTTTGGTGTTACTGGATGTTTACCTGTAAAGTAGGGACGAAGTGGACCACACCACCTAAATGTGAATGTACAGCCTTTGATTTGATTTCACTCTAGAGACTGTATTTCATTTTATAATACAATAAAAAGGGCGTTGGGAAAGGCTAATCAGACAAACAGTTTTTCACTCAGAGTGGGTGCTGCAAACAATTTGTTTAGGCTGTTCAGAAGACTGAGACAGAAGATGGTTTAGTTCATCAACAAACGAACTCTTGTAACGTGCAGGCAATCATAATGCTGTGCTTGTCTGAGAAAGCCACTCTGACCAGCAGGGTGCTTGAGATTATACTCAGGCAGGCAAATGATAGGCTGCACTGTTCTGTCCCTGAGCACAAGCATTCACTGAATCATAGAATGGACCTCTGGAGGTCATCAGCCCTCCTGCTCAGGCAGGGTCACCTAGAGCAGGTTTCCCAGGACCACGTCCAGAGGGCTTTTGAATATCTCCAAAGAGGGAGACTCCACAACCCCCCTGGGTAACCAGTGCCAGTGCTCAGTCACCCCCACAGTAAAAATGTGTTTCCTGAAATTCAGAAGGAATCTCCTGTGTTTCAGCCTGTGCCCACTGCCTCTTGTCCTGGCTTGTCCTGGCACTGGGCGCCACTGAAAAGAGCCTGGCTCTGTCTTCTCTGCACCCTCCCTTCAGGTATTTATTTACATTGATGAGACCCCTCCTGAGCTCCCCTTCTTTAGGCTAATGAGCCTTCTTCAGCCCCCCTCTTCTTTAGGCTAAACTGTCCCAGTTCTCTCAGCCTTTCCTCAGGTGAGAGATGCTCCAGTCTCTTACCATAATGGTGCTTTGTTGAACTCCCTTCAGTAGCTCCATCTCTCTCTTACACTGGGGAGCCCAGAACTGGACACAGCATACCAGGAGTGGTCCCACCAGTGCTGAGTAGTGGGGAAGGATCATCCTCGACCTGCTGGCAGCACTACTCCTAACGCCGTCTTTGCCGCAAGGGCACATTATTAGAATTGATAACTTGAATTGATAATTGATAATTCAATGAAGTTCAAGGAAGACTTTTTTTTTTCCCCAGCCATAGGTCAAAATATCTGCCTGTATCCTTTCAGTTATAATGTGTAGTGCAGTCACCTAGGGCATCATTACAGGATCTAGAAAGCAAAGGTACTTTTTTTCTGGAAAAACAAAGTGTTGTCAATTCCAGCAAGATCTGAGCCTTACTAGGTCACAGAGAATAATTTGTAGGCATGAAAACTGGCCACAGCTACCACAATGCAAAGGTAATTTAGCTTCCACTTTTATAAACAGCCTCTGAAGAATTCAGTTTTATTTACTGAAAAAAATAAACTTCATTTTATGTTAATGCTAATGCATCTAATAACATTTAGCGCACTAAAACACATTGTGCCTTTTCAGCTTTTCTTGTAAATACATCTGAAAATATGCTTTCACTTTGTGATTTGGAGCTATCAGCACACCTTGTATGGAAACACCCTGGAAATAGACTTCCACTTCTCTGCTCTTCCTACACTCACAATGATCTGTCAAAAGCTGAATGATATTAAATGTGGATATGGCACATGAGTCTAGCAAACAGTCCTGCTGCTTTTAAAGGGAGTTCTGGATAGACAGCAGTTCACAGCCTTCAGGTGTTTGTCCCATCATCATGCTCAGAAATATCACCTGCTTCCTCCTGAATCTTAAAGTAAGAACTGCAGTCTTCTCTTTTCTGGTCTTAGATGTGTATGAAAGTTTTTCTACCTCAAAACTAAAGGAGAAAAAGAAAAGCAATATTTGGGATTCCAGTTCTGATCAGAAAAGAACTAAGAAATGTGAATGAAATGCAACTAAATCAATCTAAACGTACCATGTCTGCAACCAAGCGTGAACAACAATGGCATCTGCAGCACTATATAGCATTGTAAGGGACGAGGCCCAAGTGACTGTGCTTTACGCACAGACAATGCCCCAAGAGAAAGCTCCAGAAGCCAGCCACGGGGAGGGGCCCAGTGTCACTCTCCTTGACTGACTAATGTCTCAACCACTCCTGAAGCTGGGGTGAGAGAAGATTCTAGAAACCTTGAACTGGGGCCAATAAATAGGGGCACACACGAGCCTCCTTGGGGTGCTCTCCACACCGACACCCCCTGTTGGCAGGTCCAACGCTGGATCCTGGACTAGTGATCTCAAGTAACACAAGGCCTACCTCAACTTCTCATAAAGCTGCTTAGCTTGTGTGACATATTAATACACAAAAGGTTGATGCTTATAGAGTTTGTTCCATTAAAGTTGATGTTCATGTATGGACCTTGAGTGTTATCTCACCTTAATCCACACCGAGGGGATTTGCGAACCTTAGTCACTCTCCCCTTCTCGTAGGTGGGACGTGACAGTCATCCATCTGTACACGTCAACAAAATTATTCCAGTGATACTGGAAATATACTTGTATATTTCAAACATACTGATAAACATGTAATTTACCTGCTCTGGTCCTGGATAAAATAACCAAGTCAAGGTGATCGCAAAGCAAAGAGCTCCTTGCTGGCATCAGTGAGCCTGTCAGACGGCCAGCGAAATAACAATCAAGAAAAGATCAGATCCTCCATCACATTATCAGATGGAAATATTACCTCTAAAAATGCAAAAGCCTTTCCTCATTTATTCTGATCATAAAAAAATTACAGTCAGTATTTGGGTATAAATTTGAGATGATTTGAGTGATGCTGATTTTCTTGAAAATAGATGTGCCTCCACCATCGGGGAAATGGGGACTGCCACCTCCTTTTGATAATGGAAATAAATATCACTATCTTCTCCTTGAAAGAATAAATACTGGCTCCAACAGTGGAATATGGATATCTATATTTCTGTGAAATTAAGGAAAATAATATTGTCAGATAAAATGCTGGCCAATGGAGAGACCTACTAGTTAGGTTGTTGAGGATGTGTATTCTGTAAGACAAGATGTAAACAGAAATACAAATATAATAGAACTAGGTACTTACTTACATTTTTAACATAAAGCGCCTTTCTATTGCAGCCCCCAAACCTCAACAAACCACCAAGGGAAAAGCTATATAATTTTCTATGCAGAGCAGCTCTGTACCCTGATCGCTGTTTTTACTGAGCAAGCATGCCAAGAGAGAAAGAGCTTCACAAGCTGTTTGTTGCTTCACACAACAAATAATAAAGACTTAAAAAAAATCATTACTGACAATTAATAAATGTCATTAAATCCATACTGTCTTTTTTAATCAAGGCATTAATATTTCATTCCATTATCAAAACTCATGCTACCTTCATTTATTAAAAGATATGATCAAAAGTGAGTATATTTTGCCTATTTTCCTAAGAAGGAAGGAATTCTATTATGCACTAAGGTAAAAATATTGACAGACAGGAATTGCTTGGATTATGGAGCTTGCCAAGCCACGCTCCATTGTTTATCAGCAGTCCTGGTTAACGGGGGAGGTCCCGGACGACTGGAGGCTTGCCAATGTGACGCCCATCCACAAGAAGGGCCGGAAGGAGGATCCGGGGAACTACAGGCCTGTCAGCCTGACCTCGGTGCCAGGGAAGATTATGGAGCGGTTCATCTTGAGGGCGCTCACAAGGCATGAGCGGCACAACCAGGGGATCCGGCCCAGCCAGCACGGATTCATG